TTCTGAATGAAATAATGTGAACTGGGAAGACACACTTCTAAACAAGATCTTTAAGGTGGGAAGATAAACCTTTAATCAAGATCTTTCAAGGTAGGAAGAGTCACCTTTAATCTGGACCACAACTTCTTCAGACAGCCTATCTAGAGGACATGGAAGAAGGAAGCTCTCTCTGCTCTCTCTCTTTGCCTGCTTGTTCTCAGTCTTGCTAGCAAGTCCATTTCTTTACTGGCATTAAAGTCTACCTCTTCGGGATTCTGGCATAAACTGAAGAGAGCTGAGACCTCCAGCCTCATGAGCTGAATGCTTGTTGGATTCTTGAAACTTCTGTTATCAGGCAGCCATTGTTGGATTAGCTGAAGCCCAACCTGTAGCTACCCCAATAAATCCCATACATATATTCATTCTATAAGCTTTGTTCCTCTAGAGAATCCTGACTAATAAAAAAGGAATGGCCTTCTGATGAAAAAAGGATGCAAAAATGGAATAAAGACATGGTTTAGCAAGTAAAACTGCTTGCAACACAAGCCTGAGCTTAATACCCAGACCTGACATAAAAATCTGGATGTTGTGGTACACATCTCTACTCGGCACTCCTATGGAGAGATGGGAGAAGGAGACAGGAGACTCTCCAGAATCTTATGGATCAGCTAACCTGGGGTTCAGGAGAAACAATAAGAGACCCTGCCTGAACAGGTGAAAGGCAAGAGTTAACTCCTGATAGTTGTCTTCTGATCTCCACATGCACACCACAGCCCACATAAATGACATCCTCCCATCTTTCACACAAATTGTATTAAATGTAAAATGATAAATAAATCACCAGCAACTTATAACAAATTGTTTTTCATCTTATAATTATGCATATATTAATATAACATACTAATGTGTCAACATTATTTAAATAATACTTTTGAAATAACTCTCAAAATTCAATACTTTATTAATTAATTAATTAATTATTTATTTATTTATTTATTTATTTGTATGTTTGAGGAATGTGTGTTTATGTGTGTATATGTTCACTTGGGAACAGGTACAAGGATGTGGTGACACATGTGGAAGAAGAGAGGAATCATGCCCATTATTCCTCAGACACTGTCTACCTGCTTTGTTTTTAGACAGGGTCTCTCACCGGCCTGGAACTTACTGAGCATGCCAAGTTGGCTGGCCAGTAAGTCCTAGGGTTTCATTTCCCAGACCTGGTGTTACAAGTACACACAACCATTTCAGCTTTTTTATTTTATTGCTGTGATTCTGGGGTTCAAACTTGGGTCCTCATTTTACCAACTAAATCATTTCTCTAGTCCATGGGTTTTTTTGTTTGTTTGGTTGGTTGGTTGGGTTTTTTGTTTTGTTTTATGTAGTGGGAAAGCATATTCATACTATTACCCAAGCTGATTCCCTCTTGCTACCTTGTTAAAAATATCAAATCAGATCTGAGTTACATTTTTAACTACTCAGTGTCTAAGAAATGCAGTCTTTCAACTTTTTAATTTGTCCTTATGCTCTTGAAAATGATGTATTTTTGTCTTGTAGATTCACCTTATTTATTAGCTGTTTTTGACAACACTTACCACAAGTTTGTGATTGGTTATTTAATTTTAATAGATGTTTAACACTGTGTGTGTGTGTGTGTGTGTGTGTGTGTGTGTGTGTGTGTGTGTGTGTGTACGAGGAATGGCACCTGAAAAGGCCAGAAAACCCTGAAGCTAAATTGACAGGTTGTGAGCCACCTGGTGTGGGAGCTTGTAACTGAACTTGGGTCCTCTGTAAGAGCAGTATCCACTCTGAACTAGTGAGCTCTATCCAGTCTCTACTGAATTTATCTGGAGACAGAGTCTTACTATGTAGCCCTGGCTGATGCCATGGATACTATGTAGCAAGATTGTTCTCAAGCTAGACAGGTTTCCCTCTTAGCTCAGACTCCTAGATTCCTAGATGATAGGTGTGCATCACCATACCTGGGCTCTGGAAAAGCTAATCGGGTAGCAAGATAACTGTGCTAGATGGTTATGAGGGAAGAAGATTAGAATATCATCCAGTGGGACTTGATGAGGAGGGTACCAAATAGAAACTGTAACTCTTTATCTCATGCCATTTTACTAACATATGCACTGATTTCCTCTTTTCACTGTTTACTTGGTAATATCCATTATATCTATCAGGGCCTGTCTCATTTCATTCCCACAGTTCTTTCACTTTTCTCTCTGTCTGCCTGCGAGTAGATTTCTGGTGTCATGCTCCATCTCAGCAAAAGCCTTGAGATGCAAGAATGTTACCTACACCCTCTGAAAACAGTGAGAAGTGAGTGGACAAATGAACTGAGTGGATTCAAATCCTCATGAAGTTCAGGACTGCAGAATTCAGGACATGTGGAGAACTGCTTTCTTTCTGACATGTAGCAGTGTGTGTAACAGGGATGTGTGTTTACACACAGAGCAAGAAAGAGGACACACCATATGTGCATTTTATTAGCAATAATGACCTCAGTTTGGGACACTTTCTTGAAATTAATGACTAGTTGAGGTTAATGGCCCTTGGCTACGTATTGAGATAGCGACTCCTCCAACTGGTCATTAATCGCTAAGACATGCCCTGTGCCTCCAACATCGTCTGTTAAAAAGATTGATGCTTTGGTTTCGCGGAACAGTGGCCATACTGTTTCTCATAAACCCACTCATTCATAACGTAAAAGAACTTAAAAATCAAAGCATTGCTTGCTTTACTGTGATGACATTTTTGTAAGTGCCTCCACGTGCTGAAACATATACCATTGGGCAGGAGTAAAATACAGAAAAAAAATATTGGAAAGTCTAGAACTTTTTAAAAAATGAATAATATCTACTATTAAATGCATTCTCTACACTCTATTATTCCTGATCCTTCTTTTCTTCCCCCAAATCCTCTAAATTCAGTATTTAATCTTTCATTTTCATAGATTATGAATAAATGTTTTGTTGATAGCCTCTCTACTAATGCAATGATATTTGCTATCTCTGTGTGTTCATGTGTATGTGAGTGTTCACATATACACACGTGTATAAGTTGTACATCTGGGAGGAATTATGAATAAATAGAAGTAGGTGTGAGTTACCCAAAGTGGGTGGATTTAGTGAATTGCATAGGTTATACTGCATGCTACTGTCTGTAACAAGCTCGACCTGGAGCCAATTAGCTGCATCTAATCTATTCCAGATGTTCATGGAGACAAACAACACTCTTGGGAATCTTCAGATGTGGAGCCAATGGGGAGTGTTCTGATTATGAGATTTTTACACACTGTTCCACTAAATCAGAGATCCAAGAGCACAATCTAACACTCAGGAAAGCCTGTGCCATTTCCCCAAGGAACAGAAAAAGTCCAAAGCTTATTATATGGATGGTAACTC